CACCCCTCCCTCCTCCACGTGGATCCCACCTACTAAAAATAAACAAAATAATAATAATAAAAAAATTCTCCTTTACCTCCAAAGGTCATGCATTTATTCCTCTTTTGCACATAAATTCTTTTATTTAAAGTGTCCTAGTCATTGTGGCAACCAGTGCAAAAATAAATGAATAAAACAAGCAAACAAAACAAATGTCATTATGAGCATTGCGTTCATGCAACCACGTTAGAAGCTGCGAACTTTCAGAATAAAACGAGGAAATAATAATAATTAAAAAAAAGGAAACAACTTACTGTTCTGCATCATTGAGGCTACGCCAGACTCCCACGTGGCTTGGTTGTGGTATTCTGAGCGTCACAAGAAAATAACACAAGTTATTAGCAGCAAATCAGAAATCAGATATTTTGACTTTCTTTTTGTGTGCATGTTTTTTTAAAATAATTTGCAGCTTTTATTTAAAATGATATTTTCTCATYTGGTTCGAGTTGGATTATTGGTATTATTTGTCTTTTTATTTTCTGCTTCTGGAACATGATGGATGCACAGTGAATTTTAACATCCTCAGTGTAAAAAAATAAAATATGTGGATTTTAATTAAACTTGCCTGGAAACAGAGTTGACTGTCCACTCTCTAACAATTTAGTCAATCATCTGCCGTTTTCACTACTTAATGTCTCCCTATAGGACAAAGCAAAACAACACATTAGCACAGCCACACCTTCCCCACTCAAAGTCTAGATCCTCCTTTTATTTTAGCCTAAATGAACCTAAATGTTGCTGCCAACGTTCTAAATGACGCGGAAGAATACWCATGTGAGGTCTTTCTTTTTATCGTTTTTTTTTCTAAAGCACCTGTCAAAATAAATTCAAACTCTTTTAAAGATGTGTTTCTTTCAAGATTTTTTTTCTTTCACACAAAGAAATCGGCTCTCGTCGTCCCAGTGAGAGGCCTATTTTTCGGGCCCTTTCTTTAAAAAGAAGAAGAAGGGGGAAAAAAAAAACGTTCGATATCCCTCCGCTTATGGTGGAAGTTGTACAGTGACACACGTTGTCCACCTCGCCTCAGTGCTTTGCAAAAGTGCAGAGCAGGAGGGGGGGTACAAAGCTGGTGTACAAAGCCTGCACCCAACAATGCGCCCCCCCCCCCTCGCGCGCGCACACGCACGCACAACCTCCTCTTTTTTTCCCTGTCTCAGTATGCCTCAAACTCGGGGTGAAAACTCGGCCTCCGCGACCAGAAACACGCAGCTTCTCCACTAAACAACACCAACAAGTTCACATTAATACAAAGAGCCGGAGGCATGTCTCCACCCCCTCCGGGACCATTCAAACACACACACACACACACACACACACACACAC